TCGGTTCGATTCTACCGTAATTAAATTTTTTAACAGATTTCTAATGGTCAACGATCGGTAGTCATAGTTGGAGGTCGCGGCTTTGATGGGCATTGGAGAGGGGAAGTCGGACTCGGCAGTCGGCGGTTTCAATTTGGACATGTAGATGCAGGTTTTCAATTTATCAAATGATTTGGGGTCAGTAACTCAATGGTTACCGAATGAAAGTGTGAAATTGGGAAGAAAATGATAAAAACTTAAAAATACCTTGGCCTAAGAATGAAATTAATAATTTGACCAAAAAATTGAATTTAGAAATTGGGTTGAGCTGAGCGAGCTAGAGATGGACTTGGTTTGAGAGTTAGAACATTAATCATTAAATTAGTTAATTTGTTTAGAAAAAAAATTAAAAAATATTAATTATCAAATGGAGAGGGAAAGTCGAACTCGGCAGTCGGCGGTTTCAATTTGGGCAATAGATGCAGGTTTTCAATTTATCAAATGATTTGGGGGTCAGTGGCTCAGTTGTTACCAAATGAAAGTGTGAAATTGGAAAGAGATTGATAAAAATTTAAAAAGACCTAGATCTTGGACTAATAATGAAATTAATAATATGACCAAAAAATTGAATATGATCTAATTTGGTTCGGTTCCTAAGATAATCGAACCAAACCCGAATTTTCAGGTATTTAGTAAATGGAACCGTCGGTGCAAATTTAATTATGAAACCGTTCGGGTTCAGTTCTGTTTAATTCGGTTCGGTTCGATTCCATACCGTAATTAAATTTTTTAATAGATTTCTAATTGTCAACGATCGGTAGTCATAGTTGGAGGTCGCGGCTTTGATGGGCATTGGAGAGGGGAAGTCGGACTCGGCAGTCGGCGACTTCAATTTGGACATGTAGATGCCGGTTTTCAATTTATCAAATGATTTGGGGTAAGTAACTCGGTGGTTACCGAATGAAAGTGTGAAATTAGGAAGAAAATGATAAAAACTTAAAAATGCCTTGGCTTAAAAATGAAATTAATAATTTGACCAAAAAATTGAATTTAGAAATTGGGTTAGGCTGAGCGAGCTAGAGATGGACTTGATTTGAGAGTTAGAACATTAATCATTAAATTAGTTAATTTGTTTAGAAAAAAATTAAAAAATATTAATTATCAAATGGAGAGGGTAAGTCGGACTCGGTAGTCGGCGGTTTCAATTTGGGCAGTAGATGCAGGTTTTCAAATTATTGAATGATTTGGGGTCATTGGCTCAGTGGTTATCGAATGAAAGTGTGAAATCGGAAAGATAATGATAAAAATTTAAAAAAGCCTTGGCCTAAGAATGAAATTAATAATTTGACCAAAAAATTGAATTTAGAAATTAGGTTGAGCTGGGCTAGCTAGAGATGGACTTGACTTGAGAGTTAGAAGGTTAATCATTAAATTAGTTAATTTTTTTAGAAAAAAATTAAAAAATATTAATTATCAAATGGAGAGGGGAAGTCGGACTCGGCAGTCGACGGTTTCGATTTAGGAATGTAGATGGAGGTTTTCAATTTATCAAATGATTTGGGGTCAGTGAATCAGTGGTTACCGAATGAAAGTGTGAAATTGGAAAGATAATGATAAAAACTTTAAAATGAAATTAATAATTTGACCAAAAAATTGAATTTAGAAATTGGGTTGGGCTGAGCTAGCTAGAGATGGATTTGGCTTGAGAGTTAGAACATTAATCATTAAATTAGTTAATTTGTTTAGAAAAAATTAAAAAATATTAATTAATTCAATATAAAAAATTAAAAAAATTATTTAAATTCGGTTTTTCGATTCTAGATTTAGAATCGAGAACTGAACCGAATCTGTCGATTCTCAATTCATATACCCATTCGGGTATTTAACTTATAAAGAACCGCTCAATTCGGTTCGGTCCAGTCCAGTTCGATTCGAGAGTTTTGTCCAGCCCTACTGTTGCTAAAAATTGATAAATGAAATGAGCACATTAAAGAGGGAGGCAAAAGCTTTCCTAAGCACTAGAAGAGTAATTAGCTCGATCATTAATTTGTTTCACCCGAGGGAGAATTTTTTGTTGGATTAAAGACCAATATGAAATTACATTATACTCTAAATAAAGTATGGAACACATAGAAAGAACATTGAACCGTGAAGTTTGTGTTATGAATAAATAGTTTAGGTATACTAATTTCTGAAGAACATTGAACCATGCTCTAATGAGGCATAAACTCCAGTTTGTTATTGTGTTGCAAATTATATGGCAGCATTAACAATTAACCCTCTATTATGGCTGTTTTGGGGAGTGAGATGGAATAAAAGGTTTATTATGTCTCCTTGCTTCAAATATAACAGTTGACTGATGAACAAATTGTTGTATAATGAATGAAACGTGAAAATAAACGATGGGTTTGTTTTGTAATCAATATCATAGTTCAAAAATAATCACCATAGCCAGGATAACTGAGACATTGGATCTTGTTTTGTGCAATTGGCAGATTCGAATCCGATATCTGCTACTGCCAAGGACTCAAGTATGATGATTAGCTTCAAATCCAGAGAAAATGGGGACCTGGAGTCTTCGTGTAGTACAGTAAATCAATTCTCATTTTCAACCACACATTTTTCAATAAAATAATACTTTTAATCACATCAATAATTTTTTCTTCTTTTTCAACCACACATTTTTCATCATTTCACTATTCAAAAGTCAATTCTTCCCCAAAAATCCCTTCCAAATAAAATGGGTGCTTTTGAGCATCAAACGAGATTTTTTTATGAATTTGACCTTTCGCTAAAAGTCCACATTTCCTATTTCTACAAAAATCTTCAACTCAGAGGTGACTTTTTTCCGTAATTTTTGGCATTATTTATTGAGATTATGTAAATATAATTTCTTTTTAATACATGGACTGACATGTTATTTCCTTTCAGGTTGCTGTCTCAACTAAATTCATTTTTTTGTCCTTAACCGTAGCGATTTTGCAGAAATGGGAGATAATTTGAAAACTTTCAGTAGAAAGGTGTATCTGACTTTTCATTCCTACAAAGACAGGGATGAATCAACTGCTTTGGTGCCTTTCCATTTCATCCCACATGAAAAATTTACTCAATACAGCTGGATTTTGGATTAACTTGGTGTACGATGCTCCCACTTTGCAAATTCCCAAAGCTGAGAATAGAGCTAGCGGACCTTTACCTCGTTTATCGCAAAAACAATCTTAGAAGTGATTTTTTGGAGAACACGGTTAAAAAGTAGGGTAATGTTTTGAGTTTACGTGTAAAATTATTTTTGTTGGGAGAATGTATGATTGAAAATGATTCGAAAAAAAATGAGTTTTTAAAGAATGAGACTCGAAGAGAGACTTACTGCAATATACCCGAATACTTTGTCTTTGAAGTTGAACCTCATACTGTGTTGCTGTATGTACCATACTGTACTGTAGTTGAACATACTGTAAACTGGGATGAATTTTGTATTCATGCTCGAGAGGAATGTGTATAGGAGAGAATCTCAGGGCTTCATTTCCAGTACTCAACTTGTGAAGACTCTGGACAGCCAAATTCAGATGTGTTTTGCTTGAATCAGTTCCATTGTGGAGGTTTGCAGATCTCAGAACGTAAATTCTCACCAAAGAGACTAAGTAGATATATACATTCATTTCGAATTGTGGTTTCAACTTATAATAATTAGGCAGTAAATATTTCTTTAGCAATGTTTTGCACATATTCTTTAAAATTCATTTTTTCACAAATATATTTTCAATCACATGATCTCTCGATAAAATATTTTTCATGTGAATTTATATTTTTTTTCTATTTTTTAATCAGGTGTTCTATAAAAAATTACTTTTCACAAAATCTATTCTCAAATAATTTTTATCACGCCCTTGATAATTTCAAAATCCTCAAATATAACCTGCCAAAAAATATTAATCCACAAGTTAAATAACTTAAATTAGTAATTGACCATATAAAAGTCGTAACAAAATTCCATCTAGCCTGGTGTCCACATTCCATTGCGCAGGTGTCAATGATCTTAAAAGACCACGTTGGGACGTTGAAGTGCATTATTATGACATAGAGCAAGAGGAAGAAAGAGAGTTAAATGTGAAACAATAGTGCTACGAGTATACCTAAAAGCTTTTTATTTAATGCTTGTCGGTCTCACATAACAAAGTGTTGTTTGAATTAGACTTCTTGATAACCTTACTCCGTACCTATCTTCTTTTACCTTTCCTGCATTAAACATGACAATAAATAAATATCACATTAGTTAAATACTAAAATATAAATCAATATATAAAAATTTACACTACTCTTCTTACTAAAATTAGACAATTTAATGTAAAATCCCAAATCTTAATATGACATTAGAGCCAATTAAATCCAACGATCATTTTGATTCGATTAACGAGCCTACATATTTCGACTGCTTCGAATGTGAAATTTATCATTTTTGTCCCACAAGACGGAAATTCATTTAAACAGACCAATATTAAATGTATGCTCATTTTTTAGTCTTAAATCGATCAAATTGCTTGTCTGAACTAAAAAATCATGCATGTCATTTTGATTTATGATCTAAAAATATACACAGAAATACCCAAGCGTTAGAAAATATATATACACAAAAAAAAAAAAAAANCAAAAAAAAAAAAAAAAAGACACCTCCCCCACTAAGCTGTACACACTCGATAGAAACTGTCAAGACGAATGTACCCAAAACTGGCCTTGAATTTTCAGATGGAAATAATTGTAACCTATAAAGAAAATATTCTTACAAGTATTGTAGGATCTTTCAGATTCAGAGCATTAAACAAGACCATTGGTTTGGCCACTATATGTGCACCAATATATGGATCAAGATGCATAATGCAGTTAACTACACTTGCAAAAATATAGAATGAATTGGAATTATCCAATGAATCTTTCTGAAGGTGCATTTCTTGTTAAACCAGGTAGCCTATTTCCTTTCTTCTGATTATTCACCCCCTCTTCCGCTCCTCTGAATCAGCAGAAACTCAACTCGATATCCTTTCCAGCTCTCTCTCTATCCAAGCCTCACTATCCACTATCTCCTCATCCATGGTTTCTGTGGACTTCTTACTTGTTATCCCTTCGAGTTTCCTCCTCTTTATTCTCTCTCTTATTGTAGTTATATCAATCTTCAGACCTGATTTCTGACCAGAGTCTCCTGTTATTGGCTCATTGTCACCACCATCATCAATGACAATATTTACACTACCAGAATCACCAACCTGGCACTGCTCAGTTTTTGTACACGGCAGTTTCTGGTTGCAATTGGCAATTGCAGAAGGGGACGAGTTTAATCCAGCATTTGCCAACGGAATCTTGCGTGAAACTTGCCCGACTGAACTGCTTGATATGCATGATTCTGCACTACCTGGAGCCACAGTAATATCAATCTTCTGATAACTTTCTTTAACTAACGAAATTGCACAAGCAGATTTCTGGCCAGATTCTCTTGTTATCAGCTCATTGTCGCAATCCTCAACAACACTATTTGCACTACCGGGCTTTCTAATCTGATGGTGCTCAGTATTTCTTGTGGTATCAAGAGCATAACCACACGTCTGTTTCTGACTGCATTCGGCAGTTGCAGATTTCGGAAGTGCTCCAGCATTTGACAATGATATATTGCTTGAATCTTGCCTGATGATGGAGTCACTTGAAATGCATGATCCTGTGCTATTGGATTCTTCTTTAGGCCTTTGTTTTGATTTCCCACTAAATGAGGATTGTAACGCTTGTTTGTTATTCTTCCCTAGCAATCCAAGCATATGCTGAATGACCTCTGCAAAATTTACGACTAGAACTATAAATGAGAGCTTCAATAAATGGAAAATCATTGACCCCATTGAAATTGTTAAAACGAACAGACCTCAACAGTAGGACAACATAAGAAGGAGAGGGGGAAGAAAAAAAAAGCAAATTTATAGACATGAAATAATCCAAAATTCCTAGAAAATGCAGCTTCAATCAGCATATCACTGTTGAATCACGATAAAGAAACTAAAGCAGGTTGGGAACGTAATGAAAATAAAATGTTTTTGTTCCAACCACCAATGCACCAACTACGAACACAAGATAACAAGTTGGAGTTCACAAGTGGGGTCGGAGGTCAGGTGAGTGGTGGCACGACAGGAGTTCTTACACACTTCTACAACAAAAAGGGATCCCCAAATAAACTTAGATACGCTACCTGAATCCTTTTTGGACCCAATGCAATGAAATCTAATCTTTTGAAACTGCGTCAACTTATTTTAATATGGGTACACCGTATACCTCTTAGTCTGATGGGTCATAATGGGATCAAACTGCTTCGCGATTGACAATCAGAGATTTATAGAAAAACGAGAACCACATGAAAAAATATTGTTGGCAAAGAATATTCAGAATGTACTATGTAGACCAGCCTTCTATATTGACTATCTGCAGCAGAATTAACCAAAAACGCGTCTAAACTAAGCGAGAATGACGAGAAGTTAAATTGCATTCTGACCATGTAATTAATGCTGCAACCAATACAATAAATCTAAAAAATTGAAATTGTTTTCAGGGTTCAAGATGTAAAATCGATGGGAAAAAGATTTCTTGGCAAATAAATAACTAACCTTCCAATTTTTTGGGTGAAATATCAAATTGCATCCACCACATATTCCCATTTTCCGAAGGCATTTTCATCTTCTGAAATTTTACAGCAAGGTACAGAGAACCTGCTGCTATATAATGTGGTTTGTATTGCAAGCAAAGTGTCGTGCGGACCCTAAATGTTCCATACAGAAAAAGATTTACAGTCAAAATCGGAAGAGATAAAACATATAAAGCTTCGGTGATCATTTTCGGAAAATGATGACGAAAATGATGACGACATTATAATGCCAAATGAATCAGGGAGAATCATGATATGTGATGACTCTGATTATAAGCTAGAACTATCAAGAGTGAAAGAAAAGACAGCTACCAATCATTCACAAAATTCCACGCTACTTTCACCACCTCCTTATCTGAAATTTTCAACTTCTTCAGAGCCGCAACAAGTGGCTTATAAGGGTGTTCGATATTGAGATCAAAAGCAACGGTAACTAAAAGAAGCCTCTCCCCAGTTAAGATCAGTTCCTTCTGCCTATCATAAACTTCCTGCTTCAAGAAACAAATGAAAGTAAGCTTCATCATGTCCTCAGATACAAAATGAAAAAAAAAAATAGTATAAAAGCAGCAACCATATTGTCATACCTTCTCCCTGATTCTTTGTGAAGCTGAAGGATGCCATTTGTACATTAACTTATAAGCCGTAACCACAATATCTTTCAGACGACATGGTGTGTCTTCAGCTTTGCTAGCAAGGAACATGCTAGAATTTGCAACAGCCTGCAAAAAACAGCCTCACACCTAGTCAGCGTTCAAGAAAGAGTACAAATCTTATACCCCGCCTTGGCTTCTAGATAACAAAAGGGAACTGGCAGACTCCATTTTATCATTATCCTTCATATTTAAATTCCTAATTTATCCTATACAAAAGACTTCAATACATTAATAGTGGGAGAACACGACCACTTATTATCTGCAATAGAATGATTCACAGTGCTTGTACTAAGCCTATGTTTGAGCCCCATTTCTGGAAGAACGTGTGATTAAAAAGTAAGAAAAAACTTTGGGTTTAAGTGCTAAATTATTTTATTGGGATAATGTGTGGTTGAAAATAAGTAGGAAGAAGAATGAGTTTTTAGATAATGGGGCACAAACAGGGCTAAATATGTACAACAGCTACCGTGCAAATATGTCCTCACGATGGTCTATACAATATTTACACAGTCTACATGCATTCATCCAAGACAACATTGCCTGCAGAACAACATGCACCACCTATAATGTGATCACATTACAAATAATCTGTAGTAGACGGTAAAGAACAGGATAAGGGGCAGCTAGTTCTACCTGCCAATGATTCTTTTTATGGGATTGGTGCATATAAAACCGGTGGCACAACATCATTGCAGTAGCTATGGTTACCTGGGGCCTGAAACGTATGCAGTGTCATTTACCATCTCAAGCAATTGGAAAAATTCAGAGGGGACAAGATCTTGGAAGGGGGAGAAAGAGGAAAAGATAACAAAACAAATAGTATTCAAGTAGTTACACGCAAAATGCATTTAGCACAATGCTGGAATCACACAAAAATCATGCTTGTTGCAATCACAAATATACAAACTGTATAAGCAATTAATTCATTTAAGCTAAACCGAATTGCACTTACTCTTTAAGCTCCATGCCAAGCTCTTGTAAATATGAACAATATAATTGCCGCAAATGTGACTCTTCTTCGCTACTGATGCCATCCTTCCTTGATGGAGAAAGATCTAATTCTTCCCTGGTGAAGTACCAATTGGGTTTAAAAGAATGAGGCTCACCCTGCAAGTACATGCCTGCTGCATCTCTTGAAATTTGTTGGCAAGAACCAACTGATGGCTTTTCTGCCATGGTTTCTTGCTCTTATCACGAGCAGTAAAAGGACAAAATATAATTGCACTTATAATTCGAATGTTCCCCAACAGCAAAGGACAAACTAAGCTCGGTGATCTGCGAAACAAAAGTAAAAGAAGGAAATTATTTTTTTTAAAAAGAACAAGTCTAGTGCCACATGTCCAAGAAAATTAAAATAAATGAAAGGGTGTGCATTACACATGTTTTTTTTTTTTTGATAACCGTGGATGTCCGGGCCAACTTGCGCGCACCTCGACTAATTCCATGGGGCCTGAAGTTTACGGCCTGATACTCACCTCAGTGGCCCTGAGGGGACTCGAACTGATGACCATTGGGAAGCAAACCCAAGACCTGACCAATTGAGCAACCCCTCAGGGTTGCGCATTACACATTTGCAGTGCGCACATATGTTTCTTTCTTAGCACTGAATCTATGCAATGAAAACTCTTTTAACAGTAGAATTTGGCTAATCCAAAAAATATATCCTTCTGCCAGGGTAACAATTGGGACCACAACAATAATTACTTGGATTTCCCGAATCTGAATCCATTAAATAATCAAGATAGGTAAGTCGTATGACTTTTAACCATTAATGGAGAGAATCTGCTAAATGTCCAAATGTGCCAAAGAAAGCAAAGTATTTCTCAACAAAGAAACAATCACCAATGGAAAGAAAGTACTCTAATTTGAATTTAAACATGTTAATGGAAGTAGCAAAAGTTTCCCAAAATAGAAAATTAGAGAGGCTGCAACTTCCAATTATCAAGTTAATTGAATTTTTTTTTTTTATCAAGAAGCACAACACCTAATCTTTTCAACAAAAGTTAACTATCATTAGGGCTATCATAAATTAAAATTCTGAAAAGGAAATTTAAATTGGAATTATTTTCTTGAATTTCTCTATATACAGTGAAAAACAATAAAATAATTCCTAGAAATATTGGGGACCAAACAAGGGCTTAATCCTCTCGCTACTAGTAAGATACAGTTTTAATTAATTTTATGGAAAAAGAAAATGAAAAAAATACTGATAAAACTAAGAAAAGTAATCATAAGAACCAATCATCACGCATTCAAATTACAGAAAAACCTAAACAAAGGCAAGAATGAGAACAATAAAATAATTCTTAGAAATAATGGGGACCAAACAAGGGCTTCATCCTCTCGCTACCAGTAAGATACAGTTTTAATTAATTTTATGGAAGAAGAAAATGAAAAAAATAAACTAAGAAAATTAATCATAAGAACCAACCATCACGCATTCAAATTACAGAAAAACCTAAACAAGGGCAAGAATGAGAACAACGATTTCAAGAAACAATTTATCCCCAAACATCACAATTTATAAACTTCTGGTATATAAAAAATTTGAGCAAAATACGATAGATATTGACATAGTAATTCTGAAAATATCTCAGGAAAAAGAACATACCAGTAAAAATTGATTGAATTGATAATCACTTCGATTTTGTCGCTCGTAAAATAGCTGTAAATTGGGACACAAAAGAACCCTAGTTTAGATTCTTAAGACATCCGAAAATTAGTTGACTCTCTCTCAAAGTCAGAATTTCTTTTGAATATTAACGTAGCTGGCAAGGGTTGCCCCCTCACGTGTTCTGCACGTGAGAGTAATTTTACTCACGTGTACTAATTTTTCACTGTTGCGTTGATGACATTAACGGAAAGCAGGTGCCCAAAATTACTGTTAGATAAATTTTCCCCTTTTCGCTACCAAATTTTGATCTTTCCAACCTTAGCCTCCGTTTGTTTCTGATTTTTCATCTATAAAAATAAAAAATATGACTGCTATCCATCACATCAAACCATCAATTTTGAATTTCTATATCTTGTGTGGGCCCAATAACGATTATATTTTTCATAGGGAAAATTACCAAAAACCAGTCATTAAGTTTGATCTCTTAAAAAATCAGGTTTTCAAGTTTTTCTTTCATTTATCAGGTTTTTTATCTTTAAAAAAAAAATTCTATCATTTTAATTAAATCCTTTAAAACCCTAATTTATCATTTCATTCCCCCACAGCCCACGCCACTCCCCATCGTGTGTCTCTCTCTCCCTCTCTCTCCATCGTTCTCTCAGCCGCCTCCTCCCTACCACTCCTCCTCCCTACCGGAGCGTCGCAGCAGCGTCGACGCTGCTGTGACGATCGGATCTGAGATGTTGCAGCGTAACA